CCTGCTTTTTCAGTAATTTGAATCTCAAGTATGGAAACAGAAGGATACGACATCTATCCCATTGGAGGCTCCCTGAAGGGGCTGCCTATTAACTCTGCCTACACGGACTCCTCGGGTACCCTTATTCCTCGTCCTTCTGGGCCTGCCAGGTCAGATTCTGTAAATTCCGTAAGCTTTCCCATATCATTCCAATGAGGTCTTTTAAAGGTCAGTTTCTGTTGCTGGCGACCCAAGAACTCTGTACAAAAAAAAGTTCCTGGAAAATGCGGGATTCGAGTCTTGCATGAATAGCTGGGAAGGATGAGAAGCTTATTCCAGGTGAGGAAGACGTTACCCGCAGAGGCTCTCAAGAACTTTCCTTGGCCTGGCTCAAGAGGAGACTTCAAGGAAGTGTGAGAAATCAGATGGAAGATGTGGGGTGGAGCTAGAGTAGGAAAGTCCTCTCCTGCTTATCTAGAGGGTGCACAGCCTGTCTCCTACAGCAGAGGTTTTTGTGATGTTGGACACTCGTCTGGGCCACAGTGAGAGCGGCAGATGGAGTTAAAGCCAGCCAACAGCCGAAAGAGACGTGGGCAGGATGGGCCAAGGAAGTGACCTGTGCTAGGAAGTTATCATCCACTTGGTGAGCTGAGGCAGCAAAGAGTTAGGAACAATTACTGAAGAGAAACAAGAGCTACAGAAGGGGCAGGACAAGAGAATGCAGTGATTGTAGAGAATCAAATGGACCGTTGCGTCAGTCTGCCTGGATTTGACTCGTAGCTCCATCACTGACTTTAGATGATTGATTTCCTTACCCTGAAGTGCTCCCTACCTCAGCTTAATTTAGTGGCTTATAAAAAACAAACACTCAATAAATGATGGCTAATGTTATTATTTTTATCAATAAAATTTTATTATATTAATTCAAATTGTTAATTAACAATTATTATTATTATTACCAGTTAAACTTCAGATTCAGAGCCACAGACCACCCCTGCATGCGCACCCATCGGTACACAAAACATACAGTTATACTTCAGAAATAGCCCTGGGGCCCAGCCTGTAATGATAGACTAATGCATCTGAGACAAAGCCAATAAGACGTCATAAAAGAAAAGATCCAACAGATATAAACTTCTACCATTATGTTAAGGGGAAATGGCCGTCTGAGACACTGAGCTGTAGCATGGACAGGGACCCAGGTGACCGGCAATAACCTGGGATGTTTCCAGTTTTGATAGGATTCTTGGAAACTAGTTACAAACATAGCCCATACTGCTGAACAGAAATGGGATGGTCCATGAAGTACCAAATGAGCTGAAGGAATTGGACCTGAAAATGTAACTTGCATTATTAAAATAATTTCATTTATCACTCTTTAAGAAGATGGAGTGATGGAGAAAGCGCTGGCCTGGGAGTTAGGAGTCCTGGGGTCCACAGAGGGTCTGTCTATTAGGACTTCTAGAAAGCGATTCGTTCTCCCGAAGCCTGGCTTTCCCATGTTTGTAGCCCCTGACCATGGCATGCACGTCCCTCCTCCCCCTTTGTGAATATGGCCCGCTCTGTATGGATCACCCTAAACACAATGTGTCCTCCCCCAGAATTGATATATTATCACAGAGGACAGCTGGCAAACATGAACATAGACCTTGGATGATAATACGCTAACGAGTGGGTCATTTTCCTGGGTCGTGTGGCATAAGGATTTAAGCTATAAGGCCACACTCCCCACCACATCCTGCAAGGCAGAAGGGACAAAGATTATCAACTTCATTTTACAGACACAAAAAGTGAATCTTAGTGAGGTGGAGTGACTTGTCCAAGATCACAGAGCTGGGAAGTGGTCAGTCAGCCCCACATCCACCTTGTCTGCCTCTAATCCAGGGTGCTCTCCTTCATATTCAGTTATATCCTATTGTCTTATTTACTCGGTCTTGCTATCTCCAGGGTCTGAGGGACCTTCTGCATTCAGGATCTGGTATCAGGCCCTTTCAGTTAGAGGTGCGTCCTTGGGGAGAACCCCAGGATGTGTCTGGAATCATCCTAAGAGGTGTTCGGATTATATCAGTGAAAAGGTACAAAGTTCTCCATCTCTGCAGAATTCTCATTACATTAGAGTGGGAAGTGGGCATCAGAAATTTCAAAATGGGAGGAAATGCTGTAATTTTAAATGGAGTGGTCAGGGAAGGTCTCATTGAAAAGGTGACACTTGGACAAAGACCAGAAGAAGATCAGGGACTGAACCATGGGCTATCTGGGCAAAAAGGACACCAGGCAGACAGAGGAGCCCATGCAAAGCCCTGAGACACTCCTAATGTGAACCAGAAAAATCAAGAAGGACAGGGCGGCTGAAGCGCAGAAGGCAGAAGCATCTGGTTGAACAATGATGTGCTGATAAATGTTTTATCAACTGGCTCTTGATAAAGCTCTGATTGGTAGTATTTGTTGAGTGTCATGGTGTAAATACTCCCACCGTGGCTGATTTCAAGATACCAATGTGACGTTGCTAAATACAGAGTTGGCAAGAGATGTGTACAATTGGCTCTGGCGAGTAGCTGTGGTGGATGTGAGGGTATTAGGCTCACAGTGGGGTATGGGCTGGAGAGATGGACTTGGTGGTCATCTGCAGAGCGATGGTCACTGGAGCCGGGGGAGCAGCAAAATGACCCACAGAATTGGTTCAGGGTCAAAAGAAGGGGAAAAATTTAGACTCTGATGCAACACTAACATTTGCGTGGCATGTGAAGATGATACCAGGAGGTAAGACTCACTGGGGAGCCATCTTGGAAGCTGGCTGCCACCGATGGGACCAGGTGAGGCAGGGCTGTGAGGCCTGGTGGGATTAATTGTCTTCAGGATTGCAAACGAAACTCTGACATGCTTCACGGAATCACTGGGATATCTGGTTTCCCCATAGAGTTGTTGGTCAGGCCCTCAGTGCCAGTACGTGTTCCTATAGACTGTGAGGCTTCGGTAGGAAGAGACTCAGCAATGTGGAGATTGTCTTCTGCGAGGACCGTAGGCCAGCACAGTCCTAACATGAAGCCCCACTGTTGAGCCCATTTCAAACACAGATCCCTTAGGAGGTACACAGTGGCTCGACCTCAAAAACTGTGCAACAAGATAGAAGTAGCATCATTATCGGAATAGAAGCGTATTTACCTTGGTTCAGTGTAATCTTAAGGATCGGATTTTACCTTTTTCTACCTTTAAGATTCTATTTTTTCCGACAGTAATATATATGATGTGGGAGAAATATTATTATTTTACAAGCTTGTGTGTCCTAAAAAACGGCTTGTAATGGTATACAAAACACCTCCTAGTATGCCGGAAGATGTGAACCAAATCTGTGTAAACAATTAGAATTTTCTATATAGTCACCTTTCCGTGAATTCTCTGCTTCTGCCATCTTGTGGCCACTTAGGGTAATAACTAGAGTGTTGCCTTTGGTCCAGTGAATCACCCACCAGGCAATGCCCAGAGTTCCTTCTCCTACATCCCGTCCAATGGTCGTCTGGATTCTGGACGACTACTTTCCATTCAGGTCGCCAGTTTGCAAGGCAGTCTGTACCTATGTCATAAAACTTTGATTATTAGAAAGTTATTTTTGATACTGAATTTGAGCCAAATTCAGCCTTGGTCTAATTTCTAGCCAACCTGTCCTTATTTTTTCTGCTTTTTAAATATTTGAAGGCAACTGCTTGTTTCCACACATTTTTTTTCCCCTAGACTAAATATTTCAGTCTCTCTTTATGTGATATGATCTCCAGAGCCCTCATCATGCTATGTTTCTCTCTGCAGTCAGGTTCCCTCGAAGGAGAGTCTGGGACGAGGATTCTAGTTCAAGTGATTGATGGGCCTCACACCTTGAGACGTGCGGTTCATCCTTTTGTCACTTTTGTCACATGGAGCCATCCTTTTGGCTCCATGAGTCTGGGTATTTAGGAGTAATATTCCTGAGTCAAGTCCCATTTATGCGAGGGACTTCTTAGGAGCAGGGTACAGCTGTGGGCTGCTAGCAGCCAATAGTCCCAATGCATGGGGAATTTGTGCACAGGAAAAGGACTCTGTACACCTTATGCCAAGACCCCATCTCCATCGTTATACCCAGACCAGGACCCATGTATCCCAGACGTGGTCTGACGGGTAGAATTCAAGTGGACCATTAAACCCCCTTCTCCTTAGCCCAGCATCAAAGTCTAGGCTCACATTGGGGCTGTGCTTGGCTAAACTCCAAGATGTTTTTTCATATGAAAGTGTTCTCAAGCCAAGTGTCTTCCATCAGGGCCTACAGCATGGCGACACCAAAAGAAAAAGTACTTTTATTACTTTAATGTCATATTGCTGGTTTGAGCCCACATTCTAGCCAGCTAGCTGAGCTCTCTTTGAATCTAGACTTTGTTGTCTAACTCAGCACTCTCCGCTGTTACCTGCAGACTTCGTAAGTGTGGCTCTTCAGCGACTTTTAATTTTCTTGTCTGTTCTTGATTCCTCATGGCTGGTCATGTCTTGATATCTAGGTCTTCTGAGGTCTGGCTCATTGCTCCAGCCAGATGGTTTTTCTATTGCTGCCACCCATTCAGCATCCCATTTTAACTCTGGTTAAAAATGGCTAGAAGCAGGCATGAGGCCAGGGCTCAAGAGAGTCAGCCAAGGTCTAACAGAAACCTGAGTCTGAGATAAGCAGACAGCCTGGAACCCAAGTAGTTAAGGAGGCAATGCCAGGTGACTGATACTGAAAACTTGAGGATACCACCTCGGTAGCCCTGGCCTTCTGGTACCTTGACGGGAGGTGGGGAGGTGTCTGAGAATAATGTAGGGAATGTATTCAACTGAGATCCAACTTATTTAAATGCTTGCAGAGTAGGGTATGATTGTCTTGAACTTTATAATTTGTAGAGACTTGTCCTTGATAATTGTCTTCATCTATCCTCTAGGTTAATGTTTTCCATGTGTCCAACTGCAGCATCACTTTCAGTATCGGACCTGGAAGAGGGAGGCGGCATGATGCTCTCTCCCTGCCTCCATCCATCAGCTGGGATAGGGGAGGTCACCTCTCATCTTTGACCCTGACTGAGGTGATAGGCACAGCCTTCTGTGCCCAGGCCTCTCCATCGGCAGAAAGAGCCACCATCATCTGCAGTCCTGCAACCATACTCCTCTCTGCCAGTCTTGTCTAGAACTGGCAAACCCTTTCCTTCAAAGGGTGTGGGTGAAAAAGGTCTCCGTGAAAGGCAGGTCATAGCAAAGGCCAGGGACCACTTAAAATCACCTCCTGTACCCCAAAGGTGTATGAGTCCCACCTACCCTTTGGGGAACGCTGACTCGCAGCATGTATTCCAAAGTGGAGTATCATCTAATTATTCCATGGTGATTCCCACCCTCTCAGTCACTTCCAGACCAAAGACCTGAAAACCTTGAGAGTGATGAGACTAGAAAGTGGACACCACAGTAGAAACCTATTGCATTAGCGACCTGTGGACTATGAAATAACCTTTTTTTCCCCCTAGTTAGAGCCATCAAGCTTTACATATAAATCCTCTCTTATTTGTTATTCTGTCCACCAAGTTCAATAGCTCTTTACATATTTGGGCTCTTCTCATGAAGTAACTTAAATTGTGGTTATGACATCAAGCGGAGATTCCAGGGATGAAGAATGCATGCCCCCAAATGTAGGCACAAGGTAAATTTGGGACGGCTCAACCTGCGTACTGGATTTCAGGGTCACCGTGTGTGTCTACATTCAAAATAGCAAACTATTTTTAACTAGGCAAAATCATTTAAGTTAGAAAAGGTCAAAATGAAGAGTGAGTTCCCTTCTCATCCCTTCCTTCATTCCCGTTCCTTTCCCCAGAGGTAAGTGTTGTTATCAGTT